CCACAGGAAATAGGTGGTAGGGTGAATTTGGCCTGCAAACCCAATTTGGTGGGCACCCACTGGAGAGGGAGAGTAAAAGACCAAGGGAGACACCAGCTGAATGTTATCATCAAACCTAATCGTATCCAATAAGAGGGGAAAAAACAGATTTAAAACATTTGAGATTAACTGGAAAAATCTGAACATGGATTAAATTAAGTATTATTATATTAATAGTTAATTTTCCATACAGATATTATAGTTAGCAGGTGCCTGCAGAGGTATTAGTTTGCTATTTACTTTCAAATGGTTCAGAAAACCATGTACACGCGGAGAAAAAGCACACATAGCAAAACATCAACAACTGTTGAAGATAGATACTAGATACATTTGCGTTTATTGTACCATTATTTCAACTTTTCTATAGAAATAGGTTTAAAATATTTCATTAAAAAAATTCCCAAAGGAAAAAGAAAGCATATAATCCCTTCTACCAGAGAGAGAAGAGGGGAGGAAGGATGAAACCAGAGTTTAACCAGTGAATTCTTTCATATTTGTGATTAAGATAAACCCCTTGCCATAAAAACTTTTAGTTTACAAAAAGATTCAAAGAAAACTATTTAACTTATTTTATGAACCTATCATCTTGATATCAAAACCTGAAAAAGAATACATTCAGAAAGACACAATAATCCAACTCATTGATCGATACAGATAGATACAAATGAAATAGAATAAAGCAAACCATATGCATCTGTCTGTTACAACAATCATCCATTTGGCTTAACCCAGGAGTTTAAGGATGGTTTAATAAGAGCAAATCTATTATGCATCACACCAACAGACCCAATAAGGTAAAACACATCATTACCAATAAGGTAATAACAAAAAGGCATTTAAAAAAATGTATCAAAATATAAAATGTCTAGGAATAACCATAATAAGAAATGTATGGTGATGCATGACACTTTAATTAGAGATTGAAAGGTTTAAATAAGGACAGACCATATTTCTGAACAGAACTGAATACTTCAAGAAAATTTCAATTATTCCCCAATTAATTTTTCAGTTTAAGGTAATACCAATTATAAAATATATATATTTTGTAATTCACCAAAATGGCTTTCAAAGTTAATTTGGACCACTGCTGGTCTATCAATCCAGCAAAACTAAAAACTAATAACATTCAGTTTTGGTCAAAATGTAAAGACAACTACTTTTCACATACTGTGGGCTGGAGTATGATATTTGAGATTCGTCTAGGGCAACTTAATTTCTATAGTTAAAATGTATATGCTCTATGACAATGTAATTCTCTATTTCTAAAAATCTACTCTACTGAAAAATCCCCACACATTAAGGATGTTCATGTAGAAGAATAAAAAAATTGAAGCAAAATTTAATGTTAATCAATGGTTAATGAATGAGGGCACATCAATGGCCATCAGAAAGAATGAAGGTGCTGTTACTGCTGCTGCGTGTGACACAGAAGAGTATCTATGACACATATTTGAGTGAAACAAGCCCACTGTAGAACAGGTTAGGTTAAACAGTGTTTTTGTTAAAAGAAAAAAATGGTATCATACTCTTTTTTTTTTTTATTTTTTTTTATTTTTTTTCTTTTTTACTTAAACCTAAGGTATGAAAGGTATCATACTCTTAATACTGGCTAGGACCCCTCCACCAACTCCCAAGCTGGGAGTAGTAGCTGGGAAAAAGTAGGATTCAGCATATTTACTGTTCAACTTTATAAATTTCTGTAGTAAAAACTTTTTTGTTTGAAAAATTTGCAAATATTGCTATTATTTAAACAAAAATATAAAAATTAAATAGAAGTTAATCTAATAAAAGCCCTTAACAATTGTAAATGTTAAGAAAATTAAGAAAACAATACAAAATGAAATGTTGCCTTACAAGGTTTTAAAAACTATAATGAAGATAACTCACAGAGAAAATAGTATGATATTGACATGAGATTAAGAGATCAATAAAAGAAGAGATGGCTTTATTTATTTATTTTTTGATATAGTGTCTCGCTCTGTTGCCTGGGCTGGAGTACAATGATGCGATCATAGCTCGCTGAAACCTCCAACTCCCAGGCTCAAGCGATCCTCCTGGCTCAGCCTTGGAAGTAGCTGGGACTACAGGCACTCGCCATCATGCCCAGATAACTTTTTTATTTTTTGTATTTCTTGTAGAGGTCTCGTTATAGGCCAGGCTGATCTCGAAGTCTTGCCCTCAAGCAATCCTCCTACCTCAGCCTCCCAAAGTGCTAGGGTTACAGGTTTGAGTCACTGCACCTAGCCTAAATGGCTTTTTAACTGACTCCAGATGTACATGTACACACACTATAAGCATGTATCACAAACCAATATTATTCAACCAACTGTGATTGAAAATGATCTGTAAATAAAATTAAGTTGATCCTTATGTGAGTTCCAGAAGGGATCAAGTTAAATGTACAAAATGAAACCATAAAAAACTATTCTAGGGCTAACCATCCAAGGTGTAAGTGCTTCAGTGATTGTGCTATAAGGATTCATTCCAAGGGTCTGGAATTAGCCTGAGCTGTTTTGCTAAAATTCCTTTAAGGCATGGACCCCTGATTAATGCATGAAATATAATTAATCAGCCTCTTGGTTTGGAGTCACAGGTACGAGTTTGGGAGCCATCTGTTCTGGAGCTTGTAAGCACAGTTCACTGATAACAGTGGGATGGAAGAGGTAAGACCTTCGGAGGGCTCTACTATGGGAGGCTGGCTATGCAGCAGATTATGCCTACAAGATAAGCAAAATGTGAAACTCCAGCCTACATTCCATTTAGTTCCCTGATGCCTGGGTGCTCAATGAAAGTGTGTCCAGCCACAGCTTTCACAAAGGGAGGATAGCTGGAGCTGCATCTGGCCTCTGTAAGCCTGACCTGGGTGGCAGCCTGTACTGATATTGCTACCTGCACCCTTTTCCTATAATGAACTATAGATTTGAAAGCACCATCATTTGGGCCATGTGAGGTTTTCTTTTAGCTATGAAAATCTGTTAAACCGCTCTAGCTAACGCAGTGATAAAAAAGGATTACTACAGAAAAAATAAAAGGAAAAAAAATCCTCCCCAAATGATTAATGGATCTAAGTATATAATCTTTTAAAATGTTTACTATAATACTAAAAAATTGGAAACTAAATGGTAAAATGCAGAACAATATTTACAACAAAGGATAAATATCCTTCAGAGAGTAACTCTTTAAAGATGAATCTTACAAATTAGTAAAAGTACATTAACACTCCATTAGAAAAATGGGCAAAGGACACAAATAAGCAATTCACCAAAGAAATGTCACAACCAATACACCTTACATAAATATTATCACTTACAAGTAATCAAAGAAATGCTAGTTACAAATGTAAGAAACCATCTTTCAAATGGCAAAAAACATTTTTTAATAGATAGTACTCAATGCTGAATGAATACAGTAAAATAAGCACTAAGATACACTGCTCACGGGCACGTAAATAAGAATGACCTTCTGAAAAACCATTTGGCAACTGAGATCCATAAAAATTACTCAATTCTAATGTTGATGAATCTATCTTACAAAAATAAAAAATGTGATCCAAGAATTATGTCAAGGTTGTTCAGGGTGGAGTTCTTTATAACATGGATAGAGTACAAAAATGCTCAAATGTCAGACAACAGAATTGTAACTTGAATTATAGGATGAAATTTAAATCACAAAAATAAAATCTTTGTAAAAACTTAATGATAAAATTCATATAAAGTATGATTATAACCAAAAGAATTTATATACATACATACAATTTTTAAATGACAAGAAGAAAAGACTTCAAAAGGTTAACAAAGGTTTTCTGCAGGTGGTGGAATTCTGGTATGATACATACTTTTTATTCAACATTTTCCACAATGCATACTACCTTTTATCAAAAGAAAAATATAAACATTACACTTGAGTATACTTTTCATGCACACAAAATCTATATAAGAAATGGATGATAAAATTTATAGAAAGCTTCCCTCTTTTCTAAGGTCTGTATCTAACAAATCAGTTAGCCAAGGGGAGAAAATAAAATCATCAGAAAGCAAAAACCAGAATATTACCCTTACCTCCTATTGGAGTTCCCCAAAGTATTTCACTATTGGGAAATACGACTAAGAGACATGAAAGGTTTCAGAAGTTTTGCAGGGCTTTACCTTGAAGGAATCTGTGGGCGTGTTAGTTCACAGACCAAAATCTGCTTAGCAACAAGGGGGACATCTCACTGGTCAGGGGCAAATGCAAAGCAACGCCTGTCTCAAGACCTGCAGGCCAGCACCTGATGCTTGTGCAAGGCAGAGCTCGGCATGGGGCCACAGGTTAAGGACTGATCAAATAATATCAGCCCAGCAGACACCTGCAGCCAAAACCAATTAGCCTCACTGTTTCACTCCTGACCACATATCTCAGCTAATGAGAAACTAGATAAGGAAATATATGGTCTCTATATTTCTATTTTAGCTTTTCTGCTAATTGGCAATTTAATCTTTAACTGTATACTCAGCTAGGTCTGTTCTTAACTTAGGGCTTAAGAAGTTTATCTTAGAAAAATTTTGTAACCATTTGCTCACATACATAGAATTAATTAAGGGATGTCGAGAAACTTTTTGGGAGCCTTGAAATCTAAATGAATAATCTGTACACATAAATCTGTAACCACTAACAATAGCTGCACGAATAAATACTGATGGGGGATTTCACTCAGGGGCCCCAAGCTCACGGGAATGCTGAAGGACTCCTGACTCCCCCATCACTTTAAACTACACTCTTTTCTCTGTCTCTATTATTTCTCCATCTCTACTATTTCCAAATCTCTTGTGACGATCCTCCCTGGGACCTGTTCTGCTGGGAGAGTATCTGACTCCCGGCATTTCACAATTGACTATTTCTAACTTGACTATAACTTTAAATATGAAAGAAAATAAAAGTATAGAGAAGCTGGTCTTCTCTGAAGAAGGCAGCTGTTTACTTACCATCTTCTGCTAAGATCTTGGCTGCATCTTTATCATCTTCCCACTTCCCAGTCACGAAGCAATCTTTGATACTGTTCATAACCTTAAGCAGAAAAGTCGGCACTTAGCTGACATGCTCCAATCACTCAACAAAACAACTGCTATTAAGCAGTTGGGCTTAATAGCAGTGGGCAACAACTTGCCTTTAAATACTTCTCAAGACATTTTCACGGATATTCTCATTCCAAGTGGGCCTATGGAATAACTCTACCTTTGATGTAGACAGTATAACCATAAAGATAAAACATATCATAACAGCAGATAAGGAAAGTACTATTAGTCCTCTGACCTCATAAGTAAACAGATATTTACTAATTCAACCAATTTTCAAGTTTTAATAAGGTTTCCAAGGCAATGCAGTGAGACACTATTTTATTACAAAGCTGGTCTTGCTATTTGTTAATTCAAACCTATCATGCCTGTTTGAAAGCTTAATTCCTACAGAATGGGAAAAGATACTTCCAAATCATGTATCTGACAAGGAACTATTATCCAGATGATATAAATAATTCATAAAACTAAATAACCCACTTAAAAAATGGGCAAATGATAAGAAAATATTTCTTCAAAGAGTAAATAAATGGTCAAGAAGCCACTTGAGGTCACAGATTTAAATATAGCTGATGTGCTTCATTCTACTGCACCCGTTATCCTTACCGGTTCTCACACTGATCCCGTCTGGGATGGGAATCTCTTCATGTTGGCCATTTGAAGTCATACATATAAATACATGTAAATATACATAAATAGCCATATATAAATATAAATGGCCATACAAATATAACTGGCCAATAAGCACATGAAAAGATGTTCAACATCCTTAGCTACAAGGAAAATGCAAATCAATACCATAATGAGATAGTACTTCATATGCCCTAGGATAGCTATAATCAAAAAGACAGAATGACAAGTGTTGGTAAAGACCTGGAGAAACTGGAACCCATATACACTGCTGGTGGGAAAAGAGAAATGACAGAGTATATGAGAAAAGAAAACTTTAACTGTTTTCAGTAATCATATTACCCTGACATTGTTTTGTGTGTAAATGGGATAATGCAAATGAATAATTATGTGATTTTCTAATTTCATCATCTTCAGATTCAACCAGAGAATAATTCTCCAGTGGGAAAATGGACACAGATGTAAGATGTAGTCCTGATGTGAGTTGAAAATGTCTGTATGAATTCTCTTAGTTCTGGTCACTGAGAAGGCCTAGAAACAATGACCAACTTATGGCAGTAAGCTTTGCTATGGCTAGAGAGTGAGGCTGAAATACCATTTTCTCTAAAACAAATGAGGACTTCTTATGGCTGATTCCAAGTCTGGTATCAAAAATGTACAAGATGATGTGGATATCTTATCACACCACAATGCAAACAATCGATCAAAGATGACTAGGATCATGTCAAAAGCACTCAGGTGCCAACGTGAAAAGACTCCCACAGGCCACGGATGGGATCGATATGAGCATCAGTAAGGATAACAGGTGCAGTAGAATGAAGCACATCAACTATATTTAAATACATGACTTCATAATGATACTTTAAAAAAAAAAAGGAGTCACCTTTGGAGAATCATTCCAAAAACTGATTTTTAAAAAAATCAAGCATTTACCCTTACCCTGCTTATATGGGAACTGGGTAACCAAATAGTAGATATGGGCAAGTTTCTCTTTATAGATGTATTCCGGCTAATAACAGAAATGATTGAATAGAACATCACTAGTCTTAAGAGATTAACGATGTTCTAGGCATTGGACAACAACAATTGCTAACATCATAAAAAGAGACAACTAGACCTCATGTGCCTCTTAATGATAAAACACCATCAACTATGAAACAGTGTTGCCAAAAATCAAAATCAAACCTAAATTCTATCAAACTTCTAGATGTTTTGACCATAGAGCAACTATAACCATGTGTCTATATAAGTTAATCTTAATTAAATTAATTTAAATTAAAATTAAAGTTTAAATTAAAAGTTTGATCATCCTCACTACCCATAATTAAAGTGGTCAATTGCCACAAGTAGCCACAGCTTAGATATTTATATCATCACAGAAACTTGTTAGTATTGATATGCACCAATTATAGGAAACACAGAGGAAAGAGTCTGATAAACTGCACACAGGGTTGCAATACAATACAGAAAATCAAGAATATGAGAAACTCTACCCATCAAATACTTAATATCTTAAAGAAATAATATCTAACTTAAAAGAAATGGGGAGGGGGAGGACTGCCAATTAAGAAATTTAAAAGGCAGAGTGAAAAACAACAAAAATCAGGTAAAAGTAAACTATGGTATTTAGTGATAGAAACATTGAAGAAGAAATTATGAAGAAAAGGAAAGGATTACCCTAAGAGTCTGAATCATGGTTCCTCCCACAGGGAGGAAGAAGACACAGCTGGGGTGGTCACACACAGTACTGCTGGGTGGCAGCAATGCTTGATTTCTTGGCCAGAGTGGTGGTTTCATGGGTATTCACCTTCTAGCAATTCATTGGGTTAATTATTTTTATGTGGTCTTCTATTTCTGTAATAAATCTCACCATAAAAAACAAACAAACAAAAAACGGCCAGGCACAGTGGCTGATGCCTGTAATCCCAGCTCCTCAGGAGACTGAGGTGGAAGGATCATTTCAGTCCAATTCAAGACCAGCCTGGGCAACATAGAAAGACCCCATCTTTAAAATAAAAATTTGTAATAGTTAAATAAAATCTCATAGTGTATTAAGTGCTTCCTAGCAAATTATTCTAGGTAACATGATAATGATTTGGCCTCTCTGAGGAGAGACACCTAAACTAAACTGAATGACAAAAAGAAGACAGTCTTGGAAAGATCAGAACATTCCAGAAAAGAAAACAGGGGGCCGGACACAGTAGCTCATGCCTGTAATCCTAGCACTTTGGGAGGCCAAGGAGGGAGGACTGCTTGAGATCCAAAGTTCAAGACCAGTCTGAACAAGAGAGAGACCCCCATCTCTGCTAAAAATAGAAAAATGAGCCGGGCATCACAGTGTGCACCTGCAGTCCTAGATACCCAGGAGGCTGAGGCAGGAGCATTGTTTAAGCCCAGAAGTCTTAAGGTTGCAGTGAGCTACGATGACACCACTGCACTCTGCCCAGGGTGACAGAGTGAGACAAGACAGAGGGAGAGGGAGAGGGAGAGGGAGAGGGAGAGAAAATAGAGAAGGGGGGAAAGGTAAGATGGGATTTAAGCCTTGGCAAGTTTGAGAACTAAATGAATTCCAGTGTGACTAGAGAATGGTGAGCTGGGGGAAGAATGTTTATAGGTATCATAGCTTTTTTGGGTTACAAATAGTAGAAACTATAAATGTTAAGTAGGGCTACAAAATATTTCACGTGCATAAAAACTTTTGTGTGATGTTTCAAAACAAAGATTAACACTACTATCCACACTAAAAATTGAACGTCTTCCTTTCCTCCATAACACATGCACACGGCCTAACTAAAATCCGAACATTACGGCTTAGGATACACGAAATATCTACCGTAGTATTTATGAAAATGACCTGTTATCTTATAAAAATAAGAAGCCTACAACTGGTAAGCAATGTTGAAATCAGATAATCTTTTAGAACAATTCCCCAATTCTCTCATACATACTAGTCAGCCTTACCTCCTCTAAATCCCAATCATGGGGTGCCTCCACAAAAAACCTAGAGCAGTCCAAAGAGTCGGCCTTGTGCTTACACCCTCCATCAGGCTGGCTGACATGAAACAACCCTCCAAGCTCTTCTTGGGTATCACCCTCCTCTTCATTATCCTCTGTCACTAAAGAGACCACCATGATAGAAAAGTGAGAACAAAATTACAGCTCTAGAGGACTCATCATCTTTAACCACTTAAGCCACATGTCTTAGAAATCAGGGGACTAAGTTTGTGGTAGGTGTGGTGATAGCCCCAAGTGAGTCAGCTACAGAGAAAGCAGGTTAGCGACAGGGGAAGAAAGGCCAGGAAGCTACTGCTCAACATGTATAGAGGACTCCTGATCTCCTGCATTGAGGCGTGAGAATATTGGGTTTTGGAGGAGGGAGGGGATATTTAAAAGCAGAGCTTTAAATTACCATGGAAGACTTTCTTTCAAGAGTTTTGAGTCTCTGATCACTAAGAGTACTTAGGCAAAACCTGAATGAAAATCAGTACCTAATAACCCTCCAATTTGATGCTCCTCACCCAAATGTCTAATCATCTTGGTAATTAGGCAGCATAATATAAAGCTCACCACTTTAAATTTATTTTTGCATTATTTTTTCCAAAAACAACCTATAGACAAGTTTAATAAAACATAAAATCAGAGGATAAGGGCAAAACAGAGAATGAATGCATTACACAGGGTTCTCACTCTCAGCAAGGAGAAAAAGATTTTTTACAGGCAAAAATATTTTCCTGGCAATAAATTCTATAAAAATTTCTCATGAAGGACTTTTAAATAGGGGTATAATATGAAATAATGGACAGTATTCACATCAAAAAATTTATAGCAAACCAGTAAATCTACTTCAAATGGTCAATTTGCAGTCCTCATGAGCTTATGATTAAAACCATCTGCCAAATGTAAGCCATGCACTGTGGCTCATGCCTGTAATCCCAGCACTTTGGGAGGCTGAAGTGGGACGATCACTTGAGCCCAGAGGTGGAGGTTGCGGTGACCTATGAGTATGCCACCGCACTCCAGCCTGAGTGACAAAGTGAGACCCTGTCTCAAAGAAAAAAAAAGGAAAAAAAGTCTGCCAAATATAAAATGTTACAGTGTGACGGCCAGGAATTATGGATGACAAAAGTACCATCACAATCCTCCAACCAACTCCTTCATTTCCCTTTCAGAAAATAATCTAAGAAACTAAAACATTTCTAGCTCTGAACCAGAGTTCTTTACCTGTCCCATAAATGAGCTTTAGGAGGTTTGGAGTTGCCTGTTGTTGCCTCAGAAAGGCCTCAGCTGCCTTTCTGGAAAGTTCTTCCTTCCACTTGAGGTCACCTTAAACGACAATGCCAGCCTCCAGTTAGGTCTGTTTACTTGTCCCCCTTCCCTTCTTCAAAACAGTCATAATGCAACATTTGAACAGTTAACAAAATCTCCAAAACAGCAGACCCCCAAATGTAGACATTCCACTTATAGCAACATTTTGAGTGGCAAGTTTAGAGTAGCAGCCAATCAATTTTAAGCATACCTAAAGTTTCTGTGGAATAGTTATTTTCTTCCTTGTAATCCTCTTCCTCTTTGAGTAAATCTTCTATATCACTGGTCTCATCAATTAAGTTCTCTGACTCCAGGTTCTGACCACTGCCCACCTGAGAAGGTTTTGGATACTTTTTCCTAAAAACATCTTCATTTTCTGAGTCCTCTTCCTCTGAACTGAGTGAGGAACTTCCTTCAGATTCATTTTCAGATGCAAATGCCTCTTCAGCTGTAGAGTGACCGGAATCAGAAGTGGGGAGAGCTGCTTTTTCTAACAGCAAAGACTTCTCCAGATTCACATGGTCACCGCAGTGACTAGCAGGCCAGAGTCCTGTTTCACCACTTTCTTCAGCCTTCGACTCCAAAATGCCCTGCTTTCCTTCTGCAGTGGCATCCTCTTCTTCACTGCTTTCTTCAGCTTCCTCCACTTCCCCTTCTTCCCCAGAGCTTCTCTCAAGGTCATCGTCGCTATCTGCAAATGCAGGCAAGTCCACCTCACTGTCTTCTTCCAGCTCTTCAAGTTTCTGCCGCTTGATGCCCTTAACTGTCACGTACTTATACTTATTAGTCATTTCAGCATCTTCCTCCTCTTCTGTTTTGTCATCACTAGAGTCATTTTCCAACCTGTCACCTTCAGATATTTCATCATCATCTTCATCACCACTATCTCCAGACTCATCATCTTCATCTCCAAAAATGGCTTTCCGACGCACTCGACCAGTTTTCAAATCCATGTGCTTTTCCTCTTTTGGCATCCACAGCCTATGTTACCAAGTAAACGCAAAATAATGCAATTTATATAATAATCAGCTAATGGAGAAATGACAATACAGTCAGTAAGAACACAAAGAAATAAAAATGTCAAGAAATAGTTTAAGATGGCATAGCATAGAAAAAATGATTTGATAAACATTCCAACACTTAATAAGCAAACTCATGCTTAGTTCCCTAACACCATACTTCAAAAGAGCTTACAGAGAATAAAGAAATCAACCTTTCTTAATCCAATTTTAGAAAAAAACTGCTCAAAAGGGAAGTTAGTGTTTAGTAGATCTTTTGGAAGGCTGATTCATTTCTAAGCTGGAAACACATGATGCTAAAGAGAAATTGGCTGACTCTAGGCCCAAAGCAGAGAGAGGACAAAGTAAACCCAGATCACCCCATTGTTTTAGAAAGCAAGAACAGCTCAAAGACTAATGGGGACATGCTGAGAGAACACATGAGACAGGCTAAGGGCTCCCACAGCTAAATCTGGGACAATATAGGCATCAGAAAGAATGACACACAGAATGAAAGTCCATTAATCAACAGTAATACTGAAATAAAGGAAGAAGTGAAGCAAAAGATCTTGCTGGCTGGGAACAGTGACTCACACCTGTAATCCTAGTACTTTGGGAGGCCGAGGCAGGAGGACTGCTTGAGCTCAGGAGTTCAAGATCAGCCTGAGCAAGAATGAGACCCTGTCTCTATTAAAAATAGAAAAATTAGCCAGGCATGGTGGTGCATGTCTGTAGTCCAGCTACCTGGGAGGCTAAGGCAGGAGGATCACTTGAGCCCAGGAGGTTGAGGCTGCAGTGAGCTATGATGATGCCACTGCACTCTAGACTGGGCAACAGAGTGAGACCCTGTCTGGGAAAAAAAAAAAAAAAAAGATGCTAAAACCACAGGTTGAAATAAAAACTTAATGTAGCACTATGTATAAAATTACAAAAACATCAATTAGCAAAAACCAAAAATTGCGCCATAAGGAAATGGATAAGTTAGAATATACCATTAACCAAAGGATGATTGTATAAACATTGTATAAAAAAAGGAAATGCTAAGGATGAAAAAAATTTTACCATATATTATAACTGTAATTATGTTAGGAGAGTAACCATATAGACAAAAATGACTAGAAAAATATACAAAAATAAAAACAGCTAATAACACTGATTATAATAATGATCTTTAGTGGATACTTCTTGTCTGTAAGGCATCATGCTAAGTAGTTTATGCACATTATAACAAATTACATGCTAGATAATCTCAGTCATCTTCAGATTGATTTTTACTGGGAATCATAAACCAATACAACAAAACCAATGTTTTGCATCCATTATGTATAATTACAACCCAGACTAAAATATAATTCATATATTCCATACATCAATGGAAATCTACCCACAGGAGATACTATAATAGAATCTAAGTAAAACTTTCAGAGACAAGATATGTGGCTTCTGGACAGCCACCTAAATAAGCTCTAGTATTAATATTTTGGTCACTTTTCAAAAGAAAGCCAGTGGCATCAGGTCTCACAAGAAACAAAAAGCAACCTATAGAAAAGATTTTGTGGTATTTGAGGAATATTTTGGGTTTGTTGAAAACTGAATCCTTTATTTTATTTAGAAAAAAAATACTCTAATGTAATGTTCCATAAGTGAAAGACTCTCAGAAACACATGTATATGCAAAGCAAAACAATCTAGAGTGAATCCCACCAAGATTTGTTATGATGGCAGAGTTATGGGTGATATAATCTTCTGTAATATAGTATCTTTTATTAAAAACAGAAAAAAAACAGACTTACCCTTGGTTATCTATATCCTCTGATGCCAGTGGTTTGGAATCAGAAAAAAGTGTCACTCTACTTGAAGCCATCTTGGCATCAATGGTGGAGTGGGTGGAGATGAGACTCTGGACCAGCTCACGAGTGGGCCCTGCCTCGTCCTGCCAAGGCCACCAAAAAAGGGAAAGTAAGGAATGCACAAGCACTCTGGAGGAACACATGGGTTTCAATGTTTCTCAAAATTATCTAAACACAGTTCCTGAGAACCTTTGTTTTATGTCTCAAAAAGAAGAGAAGAAAATTCTTACAACAAAGCTTGAAATTGCTCTCCCTCTTCACTAAACTTTTACAAAGTGCATTGCGTATATAACCTCATAACCTAAAAAAAACCTTACGTCCCAATGCTATAGAAATGCTAGTTTTTCTAGCATTTTAAAATATCATTTTAACCCAATAAAATCTCATTCAGAATTAAGAAATAAAAATAAGAATAAATTTTTCATTTTAAAAAGCAGAATGAGACCATTCTGAATAGAAAAGTAGAATGAAAAAAAAAAGAGAAAAGACCAACGAAAGCTGGAAAACACCAATTTTGTATAAGGAGAACCAGGCCACATGTATGCCACAGTGCCTACACTGGGAGCCATGGCAGAGAGGCACGAAGGACTAGACCTTGACTTTCTGCTACAATGGTACAGAAGTATTATTATACAAAGTACTCTGGGAGTCCACTTGCTCAAGACTTCTTGGGCATGGCTCCTGGTAAAAAAATTAGAAAAGGAAGAAAAAAAAAAGGCCAGGCGTGGTAGCTCATACCTGTAATCCTGGCACTCTGGGAGGCTGAAGTGGGCAGATAAAACGACAGGTTCTGGACAGAGGTTACCCGGTAGGAAGAGAAATAATTATTGGATACTAACACTATAATCCTTTTAAATAGAATGAAGCCACATTAATAAACATCTCTGTAGGATTCACCTCCTGAGTTTCCTTTATGTATCTATTCACAGTTCCTGTACCAGGCAGTGTTGGCTCTATTTTTGGGTTGTCATTTAACCACTTCAGTATGAGGTCGACTGTAGTGTTGGCCACAGATAAACGCACACAGCCGAGCATGGACTTTCGCAACAGCTGTGATATTGCTGTTTTTAGCCGGCAGCCATGATATGATTTTCTAATTTTTCATTTATCAAAAATAAATTGTGAACATTTAAAATAACGTAATAAAACATATATGTATATGTTACCTATTCTGATTTACATTACAAGTAAAGCTGCCTGTAAAGTAAAACAACGCTTTCATGCTTTCAAGCTTTCCTCATCACACAAGAGCAAATGGATTCATCCTCGATGCACAGCATAAACTATCGTGCGGACTTTGAGTGCCGGCTGTGGGCAAGGTTTCGTGGCCAGTGAGCACCGTACCGAAGTGGTTAATAGAGTATGTCAGAATTTCCTTCCAGTTACAGGATTAGGCATTGCTACTCTTCCCACCTTCTGTGCCCACAGAACCTTTGCTGTGCTCAGAAGCCTCACTTCCTCCCAGCATCATGCACAGGCTGATGCCACTGCTCTGCTGGAGAGCATTCTGCCCCTCTGAGACCCTAGCAAGATAAGTCCTAAAAAGAAGCCAGCAGGGCTCTGGAACGCATCTGGACAGTGCTTTGCTAGAAGTCTCCCTTCTTAGGATTGCTTGTTATTTAGGACCTTTATTTTGGTTCAGTATTAACAAGAATTAATTGAAAGTTAATTTTAAATTTTGTTTTAATGTTTAGGGTGCCAAGTTATTCTACCTTTCTGGAATGGTACATGGAGAATATCAAAACCAAGAAATCCACAATCTGGGCGTTTTATTACAGTTAGAAGTTTAGGCCTCTCACATGGCAAACTTCTCACCCTTATATCCTGGCAGACAGGTAAAAAAGGTTCTAAACTTTTCTTCCTGGCACATATATATCAAAGCTGAAATGGTTAGAGAAAGAACACTGATAACAATTATTTTGTGCCTATTTTAACAGTGTGGGGAGAAGTATAGTTGATGAAAATGTCTACTTTTATAATCACTTAAAAGTGCTGTGCCTTTGGGAGTAAATCACTTACACGATATTTAGGAAAATGGGAGGATTTTGAAGCATTTAAGATTATAGGATGTGTCCCCGTCCTACTTTCAACCTAGCTTTCAGTGACACTGTCTTTGTTCCTTGGCATGCGAGTCGTTCAAATATGCCTTGACTTTCCTTCCTTAGTTTTTTTCCTTAAGTGGTTTTCTTAGCTTGGAGTACTCTTCCTCCACCTGCTGGAATCCAAGCCAAACTAAAAACCCCAGGTCACAGGCCTACCCTCTTCTATAAAGGGATTTTCTGAGTTTGTTCTTCACCCTTTCTTGACCCCAGGTGGCCATCATTTCCCTTTCTGGTGTCTTATGGAATGAGACTCATCTGTGTGTTTGGTCTTCTTCCTCTGGTGGAAGGTGAACTGGGCTTCCTTATTTCTCTATGTTTTAGTTTTCTAAACAACATGCTAATGAACAAGAATATGACATGAGTCACAAACACACGAAGGGAGGTATAGGAACTTCTAACATTCATTTCTGCCATATGATTTTCTAGAATGGAAGATTTGACAAACCCAGAGATATCCGAACAAACATCAAATGTGACCGCAAGGTGTCTCTTTATGGTTATTTAAGAGGAGCACACTTGAAAAATAAAAGCCAAATTAATATGCCAGGTATCCTCTTGTTGTAAAACATACTAGAAATACATGTAGAATTTTTGGGGTGGCTTTTTTTTTCTTTAGCATATTATAGGGGTACAATGCTTAGATTATCATATGGCTTTAATAATTTCTTAGGAAAACTGAAAAATGACCAAACAAGGGAGAGCTGCCTTGCTGGTGGTTAAAAAGTAACCCAGCCATTTGTCGACCTGTAAAGGTGTTGAGTGGACTGAATCCCCTATTCTGTGACTTTGGTGTCATCCAGCTAGAGACCACAGTTCCAGTATTGCATTATACCCTTTGTTAGCGCCATGGCGTAAGCCTGTGACCTGCGGGGCATTTTTACCAACAGTTGATGCTTGTTGCCTTCTCAGCTAAAGCTGGCTTCCTGGGTTCTGTCTTTCAGGTGTAGGAGATTTTGCTGTGAGTGATGTCAGTTTCCTCCCAGATCCATGTGCTCTTCCTGAACAACAAAAGAAGCGCTGTTTAAATGAGAAAGAGAAGCTAGTTTATGCACCTCTCTCTGGAGTTGGTGGTGTGCTGTATGACAAAGATGCTGTCTATGTTGACCTTGGTGCAGCCATGGTTTTCAGGCATCGTGAGATGGGAGTCTGCTTTTTTTTATTACTGAAAGTAATGTATTCAGCCTTTATTTATTGAAGCTTTTCCTCTTTATATTTATGATAAAAGCCCATATGTATATCAAAAATATACAGAATATCATGAACGCTTCATTGTACTACAGTTACTTCTTTTTCTTTCTTTTTTTTTTTTTTTTTTTGAGACAGAGTCTCACTCTGTTGCCCAGGGTAGAGTACCGTGGCGTCAGCCTAGCCCACAGCAACCTCAAACTCCTGGGTTCAAACGATCCTTCTGCCTCAGCCTCCCGAGTAGTTGGGACTACAGGCATGTGCCACCATGCCTGGTTAATTTTTTCTATTTTTGGTAGAGATGGGATCTCGCTCTTGCTCAGGCTGGTCTGGAACTCCTGAGCTCAAACGG